AGGTCTCCACTTGTCCTTTTCTTTTTGGACTAAGAACAGAGGTGAATAGTGACCCTGGAATCGTTCCTTTTCTGGAACTGAAATGATGACCCTTTGGGACCTGAGGTTCTGAACATAGTCTCCCAGAGCCCTGCTTCTGCCCTTGTCCTTGGGCAGACCTGTGGGTATGAAGAATTCGCCCCTGGGTCTTCTGAGGAATTCTAACCTGTAACCTCTTTGAATTATTGCTTTGACCCAGGAATCTTGTATGTCTTGTGCCCAAACTCTCTTGAAGAGGGAAAGTCGAGCACCCACCTCCAACGGATAGTCAGAAGTTCTTGCCTCCAGCATGAAAGGAAAGATTTCTACCTCGGGAAGAACATGAAGCATATGATTGGCCTCCACGCCAATTATTATTCCGGCTGAATTCTCTACCTGGTCGGTAGCTACAAGTATCCTGAAAATACGGATCCCTAGGAGGTCGCTTCTCTGACCAAGAGGAGCCTGGTCTCCTTGTTCTTTTTTCTTGGGGTAAAAAGACTTTACGCCCTTCAGCTGCTTTTTTAATGGAATCCTCTAGGGTCCTGCCAAATAGAAGATTGCCTTCAAAAGATATGGAACATAAATTGGCCTTGGAGGAGGAGTCCACACCCCAATAACGCAACCATAAAGCTCTCCTTGCTGCTACCGAGAGAGCCATGGTGCGGGAGAAGATCCTGGTGATATCAAGGGCTGCTTGTGCGACAAATTCAGTAGCTATCCTAAGATCACAGATAGCATCTCTGAGGTCTGTTCTCTTTAGTCCTCTCTCCACATCCATATCCAGGTCTCTCACTCAACTTTTCATGGCTCTGGATACTGCCGTAAGACAAACAGCTGGATGGCATCCTGTTCCACCCGCCGAATATATCTTGGAAAGATCAGAATCCAACTTCTTATGCATTGGTTCCTGCAAAGAAGCTGAACTATCCTGTGGTAGACTTGTTCTCCTGGCTACCCTAGAGATGGTAGCATCAACCTTTGGAGGTGTTGTCCATTTCTTGGAAGTTTTCTCCTCCGAAAGGTAAAGCCTGGATAGCCAACCTTGAAACAGAACCTTTTTATCAGGTTTTTCCCATTCTGCTGTAACCAATTCCTTAATGGCTCTGTGAAGAGGGAAGGGAAGCTTCTGCTTCCTAAGATCTGCAAAGTGCTTATCAGAATTTTCAGGTTTAGGAACTTCTTCCGGTAATTCAAGGGTCTTTCTTACCTTCAGGATAAGTTTATCTACCCTCTTGGCGTCTAGATATTCCGAAAATAACTCTTCTTCGTTTTCACTAGAAAAAACCTGGTCGAGAATCTGAAATTCTTCAGCAGGATCCTGGTAATCGGAGGCTGATGATTCTGAGGAAACTTGTCTCTGTCTAGGCCTTTTCATGGACCGCTTACTTGCCTCCATGGCCTCTGAGATGCCCTGAGCCACCTCCTGTCTGATCCAAGCCTAAATCTGGCGACTGAGAGGGCGTTAAGGATGATGGAGTGGCCACTTTCTGCAGACAGTTTAGGCACAGATGTTTGCCTTCCATCGTCTTTTCATCACATCCTGCACAGGGGTCTGACTTCTCTCTCCTCTTACGTGGGGGAGATGTAACAGATTGTTCTCCGTTACTAAAAGTGATACAAGGAACCGTTTTAGTAGATGAAGAATAAACTACTATATAAAGTAATATATAAAATAAATGGACCCCTACTCACATGGATTCATCCGAACAGGGTAAGGGGTTCCTACTAGGAGAGCTCATAATGGGCTACTACAAAAAAGAAATATAAAATAATTCTCTCAGATTAAATCCCAGAAATTCACAGAGGAGGGTAAATATATATCTAAAATACACAAACCTGTGGCAAAAGGATAGAAAAATCCTGGCACCAATTTCCAGAGTCCTAACTTGTTTCTTTCCAAGCTAATACAACTTTAAACTGCACAAGTATAGTTACCACACCAACCTTCTTCGAGTTCCAGGTCTCTTTAAATAGTACCTGCTGAACACTAACCTTATTCCTGGCATTTTCAGCCATTTACCTGCCATTTTCGGTTTTGCCCAGAGTAAAGATGGCCGCCGCGACCTCGCGAACTTACCCAAACTGCATTTTGGCGTCAAAAAGCGATCTGAGCGCATTGCGCATGGGCGAGCGTCCTCTCCGCAATCCGGGCAATCCAAGCTGGGAGGAGGGAGGACGGAATGAAGGACACCCTGATCCAAGCCAGGACGTCCCCTATAGGTCTCAGGTACCCCAGGACAGGTCCTGGTATGAATGCAAAACGGTATAGGAGACCTAAGTAATTAAAATAGTTAAAAGTATACAGTGTACTTAAAGGACCACTATAGTGCCAGGAAAACATACTCGTTTTCCTGGCACTATAGTGCCCTGAGGGTGCCCCCACCCTCAGGGACCCCCTCCCGCCCAGCTCTGGAAGGGGAAAGGGTTAAAAACTTACCTTTTCCAGCGCTAAGGAGAGCTCTCCTCCTTCTCTCTCCTCCGGGATCTTTTCTCCTGGGCTGAATGCGCACGCCATGCGCTTGTTGGGCGCTACAAGATGCCCAGCTCGGCCGCATAGGAAAAGCAATGCTAGCCGCTTTGTTGGACGCTATGCTCTCACTGTGAAAAAATTACAGTGAGAAGCACGCAGTGCCTCTCTAGTGGCTGTCACTCTATATTAAGCTACTAGAGGAAGGGGAAGGCTACTATTTCCTAGTAAACATAGCAGCTTGAAACTGCTATGTTTATAAAAAAAATGGGTTAACCCTAGAAGGACCTGGCACCCAGACCACTTCATTAAGCTGAAGTGGTCTGGGTGCCTGGAGTGGTCCTTTAATCTCTAAAGGAGCTAAGGAGCTCCCTTCCTAAAGGCTGTAAGGACAGGAAAAAGACTGAGGGACTCATCTCTGGATCCTGTCTGTTTGTTTAAATCCTGTCTTATTGGCTGTAAAGGGAGGAGCTAACCCATGTGTATATGCTGCCATGATTATCCTGGAAATATTAATGTCCCCATACACTGTATATATAAATATCCCCATACACTGTCTATATAACACTCTCCCCCATACACTGTATATTTAACACTCTATCCCATACACTGTGTATATATATATATATATATATATATATATATACATATATATATATATACACGCTTCTATACACTGTCTATATAACACTCTATCCCATACACTGTGTATATATATATATATATATATATATATATATATACATACATATATATATATATATACACGCTTCTATACACTGTCTATATAACACTCTATCCCATACACTGTGTATATATATATATATATATATATATATATATATATATATATACACGCTTCTATACACTGTCTATATAACACTCTATCCCATACACTTCCTATAACAGTACCTCAATGGCTGTCTACAATGCGCTCTTTTACATTCTATAATACTCTCTTCTATAAACTATTATATGTAGAGCATTTTTTTCAATGACCAATGATGTATATTTCTCAGTACACTGTATATTATAATCATTAGTATTTATATAGCACCAACATATTCCACAGCGCTTTACAATTAGAGAAAGTGTTTGCTTATAAGTGAAGAAGCTCCTGCCCAAACAAGCTTACAATCTATCTGTAAACGTTCACTATCTATAATAACATTGATTTATCCCTACACACTGTCTATAACGTTCTCTCTTTCCCCATATCTTGTATACCTGTTACCTGCACTGCCCCCTCCCATTCATGCTCTGCAGGTAATATTTACCCCCTGCTGTTTGATTACTGAACCTGCACCCATTTCCTGGGAACTTGTTTAAAGCAATCATTGAATGTCAGTCAGCAGGTTTAACTATTAGTAGTACAAGGAAGGGTTAACAGTGCATTGTTCGGTCCTTATACGTTTAACACACTTGGAGATGGTTTGATTCACTATCTAATCATTTGATTTGCTAAAACAGGGCATTCATTTTATTAATAAAACAGGTTTGTAAGTAACTACTTGTGTTAATGCGTAAAGATTAAATGTGCGGCAAAGTTATAAAACTGAGGCAAATAGCAGAAGCTTGTTATTGGTTTCCATGGTGATTGCTAAGCCTTTTTCCATCACGGAATTACTATTAATAAATCGATTGAAAGTAATTAAACAGCCAGCCTGTTATAGTTAGATTGACAGATAAACGCAAAATGAATTTGTAAAACATACGAACTTTCCCTCCTTTCTCCAACTCTAATGATTTTCTAATATGAATACTGTGCGATGCTATTACAGTTTGTATGTCCTTTTAATATCGAGTACTTTTTCACAACGCATGTAAAATAACAGGATTTTAATAAGTAAGATCAGATAAAACGATCAAAAAAGAATGTTCTGTAATTTACAATCATAGTCTGGAACATATCAATGCTAACATGAAGTGATCGAGTTTCACCTGATGTCAGACACATCCAATAATCACATTATTAATTCAAGTCAATTAATATGTCTATCTGCTTATTAGAAAACACCGTGTGCAGCATGTCAAACGATGTCAATATAGCGCCGTGTTTTTACCGATAAAATACTTTTTTTTTTTTTTGCGCTGATACTCTGCTATAGCAACAGCATTAAAATGGTTAATCCTAGGATTCCTACCTCCACATACCACAGAGGTAAACTACAACCAAACCAACAAACCACAAACAAGACAAGCTAGTCCAGCCAGATTGTCAAGTCAATTTGTTACTTAAACGGTTGTGACATATTTAGTGCTTTCAAGAGTTGGGTATACAGGATAAAAACAATGTGTAGGTACTAATAGCTGGGCAAGATAACCATCAGGGGATAGTGTAAACAAGGGCTAAAACAAAAGCATTCTCACGTCAAAGAAAGGCGTTTAGTAGTCCATGAATAGGTAAATTAAATCCCACCTTCTTTCAATGGTACAATGTCTATCAAACTGTAACAAGTTCCACACGTCACATACTTTTATAAAGTGATCAGAGAACATTAGGTAACACTTGCCACTAGAAAAGGCTCCCAGCTAACTATTCAATGTATGACTGATGCGTTCCTCTGGGGTATCACACACATCTCGAGCTGCCCAAACAAGTTAATATTGGTATGTATCCAAGTCAATAAAGAGGAGAGGTGTACTAACATTTTCATGCAGTAACAAAACGTATATAAAAATATATTATTGATCTCACAGCACATCATGCACCCACCTTCAATTTCTCATAGACCTTCACAGATCTCAAAGGAAGGTTTGAATTAATGGAGAAGTTTTGGAAACCTTTCTCCCAAGAGGATTTTATGAAGTGCCCCTTCTCAGTTTAATTTGCATAATCCAGGCAATATGTAACCCTGTGAGTACTATTAAAGTGCAACCAATAATCCTTTGTAAGGATAAGGCAATAAACTAGTTATTAGCAATAAGAAACACAAACAGAAAAAAGTTCTGACAGTTTTGTTGTCACTGGTAAATTGTCAGTTATGTGCTGCTGTATAAATGGCATACCTGTTATAACATTTTTTATTTTTTTTTAATAAAACCTGCAAATCAGCTATCGCAGAGCAGATTGTCTATTTCTAATACACGGTAGATATAGACAGACCCTTAAGCATGATTCACAGAGACAGCAGGGTATACCCCTTTCATTATAAGAGTTCCTATGGAAATAGCAGTTTGTGATCCTTGCCTGAAGAGCTAGCACTCTGATTCTCAGTTAGGGGGATTAAAGGTGCGTGCGGGAGCAGATGCAGAGCAGGACGAATAGTAGTGAGCTGTGTCTTAGTGAACTAGTCTGTTCTTCTCACAACCCCTCCTTCCCACACACCCACCTCTCTCCCCCGCCCAGCTTCAATTAAGCAAAAAAAAATCCCTTTCTCGTTTTTCCTTCAGTCACAGTAAGGGGAGTGAAGATCACAGGCAAGAAACTTGGCCAGCAAGGAAGTTCAGCGACTGCTGTACCTGCAGACTTGGTTCCTTGATTTCACAGTAAGGAAGCAACATCCCACCTAGAGCTGCCACTAATTAGATTTCAAAGCTGGGGTAACCTGCACAGTACAGCCACCAGGCAAACATGCCATCTGTACAGCAGGGGTGTTGTGGAGCCCCCCAAGGCAAGAGAGTGTGCTCAGAGTGAGAACTACTAGAGATGTGCTGGACAATAAGGCCATAAAGAAAGAGGGGCTTTTTCTATGGACTCAAGGGAACAGAATTGGATTTCAGCTGCTGCTGCTGTTGTTGTTGTTCCGCCTGAGAGTTGTGTGTGATTGACTGCTGCCCAGAGTACAGGAGGAGCTGCTCTCCCATCTCCTGTCAGGAGCAGAAGACAGCCCAGAAGAAACAGGCTGAGCCACAAGTCCAGAGCTGGTCTTAATGCAAACTATTGGAGTGCAGGAGCGGATTCTGTTTTCCCAATAGAACCCTGAGTGTTCAGCTGGGATTGGAGAAGGTTACAAAGTTTCACAGCTAATTCCTTCAGGACTAATTCAAGGAAGTGCTCTGGATTTTCTCTCGTATTCACCTGTGCCATGAGTGGATATTAATCCTGGGAGATAGCAAGCAGGACAGGTAATGTGTTATTTAATAGTGTCTGAATACTGAATGATGTGTTTTGTTAATACCTTGTCATTTAAAACTGACATTTATTTTCTTTGTGTGCCTCTCCGCAGCTACCTATGTGGAGTTTAACTTTGCTCAACCATAAGCACCAGTGACGAAGCAAGCTGTCAGTCATAGAAGGAACCATCGTGGATTATCTGAAGCTGGTGGAGATGTCTAAACCTGTGGACCATGTGAAGAGGCCCATGAATGCCTTCATGGTATGGTCCAGAGCCCAGAGGAGGAAGATGGCCCAGGAGAACCCCAAAATGCACAACTCTGAAATCAGCAAAAGACTGGGGGCTGAGTGGAAGCTGCTGACAGAGTCTGAGAAGAGGCCATTCATTGATGAGGCCAAGAGGCTGAGGGCTATGCACATGAAGGAGCATCCGGACTACAAGTACCGGCCCCGCAGGAAGCCCAAGACCCTTCTGAAGAAGGACAAGTTTGCCTTTCCCATGCCCTACAGCATCCCAGGGGACCATGATGGACTGAAGGCAGCCAGGCTGCACGGGGCCGGGGTTCTCACCGACTCCCTACTCTCCAACCCAGAGAAAGCAGCAGCTGCGGCGGCGGCAGCTGCAGCCAGGGTCTTCTTCCAACCCTCGGCGGCGGCAGCAGCAGCAGCAGCGGCGGCAGGAGGCGCCACCAACCCTTACTCCCTGTTTGACCTGAGCTCAAAGATGGCCGAGATCACGTCCTCCTCATCCTCACTCTCCTATGCCTCCTCTCTGGGATACCCTCAGTCTAGTGGGGGCGCCTTTCCTGGGGTAGCAGCAGCTGCTAGTGGGGGTCACACTCACTCCCACCCCTCTCCTGGAAACCCAGGGTACATGATCCCATGCAACTGCACAGGCTGGCCCAGCCCCGGATTGCAGCCTCCTCTGGCGTACATCCTGTTCCCAGGCATGAGTAAACCCCAGTTGGACCCTTATCAAGCAACAGCTTATGCAGCAGCATTATGACAGCAGGGCTGCCCGACCAAGGGCACTGGGATCCCAGCTACCAGGTATGACATGATGTGGGACACATGAACTTCATGCTAAGCCTGGATCCCACCACTGGTGGAGTGTGGAGTGTACCACCCACCGTTTTTGGCCATGCTGACTTATTATGCTGTGAAATACAAAGGAACTATGGAAGAATGTGAGGTGTTAAAATATGTCATCACTTCACAGTGGTCAATTGCACATGTCATTTTTTTTTTTTTAACTTAAAGTATCTTTAGGAGAACTGTGTACCTGTGACATCTTCAGATGTTCTCCTGGATGAAACACGGTGCAAAGCTCTCTGTGGGTGCTGAAGTGGTTCTTTACAAAATTACAATAATCATAAACTAAAGCTAAAACACAACAACAATAAAAACATTTCAAAAAGTCATACTTGGCCTCTCGTTGCACTTCTGCTGGTGAAGTTTTGGACTTGACTTGAGCTTGAGGCTGTTCATTTTTCCGATACCTGCATGCACAAGATGGACATAGGTAAAAGGGGAAAAAACAAATAAACCTAAAAAAGAGGTTCTCTTAATGCTGAAACAATTAGTAAAAGAGGTCCTCACACCTCAAATATCTCTCCAGTCACTGGTGTACCATAAAGAGGAGAAGATCTGGATAATCGCTGATTTGCCCAATCTGCACTCTGCTGAAACATGGTTAGAATTTAAAATGGGGATAAAACTTTGTTCAACAAGACACATTCCATATCTTATCATTCGTGTTCTAACACACAGGAAATGTAACTTCCCAGCCTCTCAAACTGACAACCCTTTCAATTCATATAGTGAAACCTGTCGTACTGGAAAGGAACCCAGGATCCAAAGATCACACTGTAATGTTGTAAAGATCTTGGGTCCATGAACAAATATTGCTGCTCTTGTGTCCCCTACTCGATTTAGAACTTATCAACACAAAAACAAACAAAAAGTCCTTTTATAGTATGTGGCACAAAAATTATACATTTGTTTTTAGCTATTTCTAGGTTGTTTTTTTTTTTTTTTGTTCCTCCCTCCCCCCTTCCCCTTTCTGATAAAAGTATATTTATTACTTAACTCTGGAAATGATATTTCTTCTCCTTTTTTTGTCCTAAATGGGTCAGACTTGAGATGTTTTGTGTATTTTAAGATTTGATCATGCCATATTTTTTTTTCCTCAAGTTGAATTTCCAATTCAGTGGCAGGTTCTTATTATAATTATGATGATCTAATAATTTAGACAAAGTTTCCTTAAAGTCATTGTTCAGTTCTTATCGGTTTACTTTTGTAATGTGTACATTTTGACTAATATTTGTGAATGAAGCTGGCTAACCTGTATTTAGTTTTATTTTTGGCTTTCTGTAATACAAAGTAAAAAAAAAAAATATTGGTTCTAACAATTTGATTTAAATGTCTTATTTGTGTGTGAGTCATTGGTTTAATATTAGATGACAAACTATGTGGATGGAGATGTAATGCTCTCTTCAGCTATGAACAAAAGAATTGCAGGCAAAAAAAAAAAATCTATTTCTTGTTGAATATACTAACAAGATTTTTATCTGAATTGCCCTTACTTGCTGGTCCAGGTGAAGTGTAAGGTATACTCTAAAGACTGCCTTTGTTCCCCTCTTGAATGGATTTACCAGGAAATCTAAATCAAGCCATTGTTATCCAGAGCCAAAAACCTGATTTATCACATTTTTAATCGTGAATAGGAAAGAAGATAAAAAACAAGTCGTTGTATTATCTTAAAAAAGGCATTCATGATTCAGCAGAACAGAGGCCACTAAGAACACTGAGCCGGTTCAGGCCATTGTGAGGTTTCCAGTAACGTTCTAAAGTAGAAAGTTTCAGTGGAACATTATCTTGTTAGCAGGAGACCTTACTATTAAATTCGTGTCATAAATGCCAGGATAGTTCGGGCACATGATTGGCAGCGATTGTTATGTTTTGCTTGGATTTTAAAAAAAAATCTCTCACTACTGGTATTTATAAAAAAAAAAAGTTAACATGTTATTAAATGAAAAAGAGCGATCACCATTCGTTTAAATAATAATAATAATAATAATTAATAAAAAAATAATATATATAAATTATTTATATGACTGGAGAACGCCTATTTTCATTATATAATAATCCTTATATATCTATTATATGTAATTTTATGAAGATTTAAAAATCACAGAAGAAAAAAAATATATATATATACACACACATACTTCATTATATTATTTTATCTATCCATCTGTTTTAATATGTTTATATCTAGATAGCTGGTTTGATATAAGTGTCTATATATGTATAAACGTTTAGAATGTAATATATATATATATATATATATATATATATATATATATATTCATGGCTCTGTTCTGTGATTTAAACGATCCCCTTAAAGTTAGACCTAAATCGACTTGCTGTATTAGCTTTTAATTCATCTGCTA